TGGAAGAAGTTGCAGAATCAGCATTACTGTTGAAAAGCCAAAGGATGAACTCCTCATTCCATCCGTGATAGCTGAGAGCCAGAGCAGTATCTTCAAAAATAAATGTACAAGTCAGACGTGCTTCACTTAAGTTTCATAAAGCACAAATGCTTTTTATCTACAAAATCTAAATACAGTTCACATATTACCCATACAAGTATGTTGTCCATCTGTGACAGCATAGCTTTCCTCTCGGATATCAGATCAAGAAAAAGTCGAAGCTTATACATAACTATGCATTAACCAGAGTTCTTGCACGTCTGACTCTGAGAAGAAGCATTGGTAGTCAATGCAAGGGCCAGGAGTCCCTGCATGTCATAAACTGACTTTAAGTGTCCATTCAGGCTAGCTAAAGACCTATAGACCTCTTTCCTTTGTGTATGCCTTGTATCCTTAGCTAAAAATTCATGCACACTGTTTCCTATTTGGATTGAGCTACAACCAGGTACCTTTTCTGTTCCCTGTTGCCTACTTGCTACACGGACGTCCAATGCATCTTGCCATCTTCCAACATGCAAGCTTAAATTTGCAATCAATGTTAAGTAACCAGGATTCATTGGCTCTTGCTCGAAGATCTTTCTTGTCAGTGACTCCAACAACTTTCCATTACCATGGATCTTACAAGCAGAAAGTAAAGTAGCCCAAATGACAGCATTAGGTTGTAAATGCATGCTCTCTATGATCCTTAATGCCTCTTCCAACTTTCCTGCTCGACCAAGGAGATCAACCATGCAGCCATAATGCTCAATTCGTGGTGTAATATCAAAGTCGTGCACCATCTGATCATAAACCCTTTTACCTTCTTTCACCAGTCCTCCATGTGTACAAGCTGAAAGAACTGCAATAAAAATCACATCATCTGGTTTTAGTCCTTCTGAGCACATTTCATCGTATAGGTCTAAGGCTTCAGTACAATATCCATTGACTGCCAATCCTGATATTATTGAAGTCCAAGTAATAATACATCTCTTGTTCATCTTTTGAAAAACTGCTCTTCCATTTTCTACATCCCCACATTTCGCATACATGTCTATCAAAGCATTACCCAGTGGAAGTGACAGTTCAAATTTATTTTTCCTAACATAGGAGTCAACCCATTTTCCATGGTCATGAGATCCCAAGTGAGCACAAGCCGACAGTACACTGACTAAAGTAGTTTGATCAGGCTTGCATCTGCCATCAATTAACATATGATGAAACACGGAAAGTGCTTGATCAAACAAGTGACCGTTAACATAACCTGCAATCATTGCATTCCAAGAAACCACATTTTTTGCTGGCATCTCACCAAAAATCTTCCTTGCTGATGGAAGGTCACCAACCGTTGCATACCCTGAAACCATTGCTGTCCAAGAGACTACACTTCTTTCCGGCATCTTATTAAAGATCGCCTGTGCAGTTTCCATATCACCAACCTTTACATAACCAGACAACATTGTATTCCAAGAAACATCATTTCTTTCTGGCATACGTTGAAATACAGAATGAGCTAACTCCAATTTTCGAGCTCTCAAAAGCCCACTGATAACCGAATTCCATGTCACAATACTCCTTTCCGGCATGGACTCAAACAGCCCAATTGCAGATTCTATCTCTCCACGGCTCATACACCGTCCAATCAACGTATTCCACGAGACAACATCTCTTTTAGGCATATAGTCAAACACCTTTCGAGCCACACCCAAATCCCCACAACTGTTGCCATAAAAATCCATAAGCGTATTCATAACAAAAACACTTGACTCAAATCCCAACTTCACAATCTGATTATGCACCATTTCACCATCTCCCAACGCCTCAAAAGACTCAAAACATCTCAAAAGAAAAGTGAATGTGAAACTGTTAGGCGAAATCATTGAGGCCCTCATCTTTTTATAAGTCAATAATGCATCATTACTAGTCTTACCAATGAAGCATTGAATCAAAGTATTATAAGATATAACACTGGGATTATTCATACTTTCAAAAGTTGCAACAGCATAGTCAAGTGAAAGGTCTGAGGATCGACTTATGAGTTTGGGTACAATAAAGTTGTCATCTTTGAGGCCATTGACGATAATCTGAAGATGGGTTTGTTTCAATTGTTTGATCGTTTTGCATTTCTGCAACAATTGGAGCATAGAATGCTCCATTGCTTTGTAGTATTACCATTCAAACAGAGCTCCCCTTTAACGGTTAATAACGGTCAATTCAAGAAAGCAACATGAGAGGGGCATTTTCGTAATACACAAATACAAAGACATGGTGCTATATTACTATGTCTAGCTTAAGCCTTCTCCAAAAGAGAAAAAAAAAAAAAAAAAAAAAAGTGGGGACCTAGATCAAGCCTCAAGGAAAATTCTTTTTAAGTGTCAAAAAGGTGCTTTGGACACTACCAAGTAGTTAAGTTAATTATTATGGAAAAATCAAATTGCCCCCAAAAATAGCCTAAGTCTCCCTAAGAAAATAATTGATAGTCTATACTGGTAAATTGCTCAAGTAATGGAGTGTTGATTGATTTTGAGTATTACTAAATTTGACGCTATAGTAAGACTTCTAGTTTAAACTGTTTAACATGGATTTAGTTGCTCAAGTTAACTTGGCTGAATAAGAATTGATTGGCCATTTGACAGAACCATGAACCATATTTGAAAATGATATACTACAAAATACTGTTAAAAGTTACAATAATTGTGAAATTAAGCCTTATTCAAAAGTATTTTTGAGCCAAAACAATTGTCTAGAAATTCATGTTGAAAAGAAAATAAAACTTTCTAGGAATGCTTATCAAAGATCACCATTTTTTTTTAAAATCATTTCTCTAAGAATTGATTATCTTTTACATAAAAAAGCCGTGCTTCCAAATGGTTTTGTATCCCTAAACTAGTTTGTAAATGGCAAAAACTGTTGGTAATAGTTTGTAATGAGAATGTTGAAGTTCATTGTCCCACATTGAAAGAGGATAGAGTGCGCATTGTCTATATATGCATCATTGTCTTGTTTCCTTTACAAACTTGTTCCAAAATATTAGTTTGGAGGGAAAGTTAGGTAGGAAAGTTATTTTAATTTATATCTCATACACTTGAATATGAATCGGAAGATATATAAAATCTTGACAAGGGCACTTGGGGCACCTTGGGGCTTTCTGATTAGGATAGGGGGTTAGAGGTAGTTAATGACGGTTACATTTAGTAGACATATCTATTTATTGGTTAACTACCTATACACCTATTCAATAAAGATTGCATCCTCTGATAGTGCCTTGGATAGGTGCTTCAATTCTTTTAAATAGTAAGATTTTGACAAAATTAAATCACTTTTTCCTTTCATTTGATAGTTTTCAGACTTTGTTGTATCCTAGAGGTAATTTGTCTAACAGAGGCAAATAACACCTTAAAGTGCTTTCACGCCTCAAAGTCTCTGCATTTGTTTAGTTTAGATTTGTTATTTACTACAATTTCTCAACAAAAACTTGGATGAACCGGTATGCAGACCCATTTTATGGACCTCGTGATTGTTAAAAAGCCACATTGCTCCTCCCAAGCAAAGTTAGAGTTCCCGTTCTTGTATTACACTACTATTTTTCAATTGAAAAGAAGAAGAAAAAATCGAAAGAGAAAAGGCAAGGAAAACCCTTCAATTCTAGAGGAACAAAACCTATGATTTTCCTCATTCTTACAAAATCAAACCTTTCATGGGAGGAAGTTCATGAGAGTTTATGCAAGTTAAGTTACACGAATCTGATGTATTATTAAAGTTTTGCTTAGTTTATCGAGAAGATTAATTACAGAGAAAGGAAGAAAGAGTGGAAACATTGAAAGATGAAGAAAAAATTCTTAAGATAAGGAGAACGCAAACATCATACGAAATCTTCGCAGTTGAGTCTCATAAAGACCCATGTAGCTGCATAAAAATCTAATTTTTGCTTATGTGTGTGATTTTTTTATCAATATACAAATTTTTAGCCTCTTTAGCATTTTTAATTGTAAGATTATGTCAATGGATCTAGTAAATTTTGGATCAGAAAAATACTAAAATAGTTTATGCCAGATTAGTAATGAGTTATTAGTTTGCTTGTTCTTTATGTTGCTTGTGCTTTGAAAACCGAGAAAACGATCTCCACAAAAAAGGTAAATTCATATTTCATCTCTTTCTTCTTTTTTTTTTCGAGATTATGCTAGAGCTGTTAACGAGCCGAGTCGAGCTCGAGCACATGATAATCGAGCTCGACTTGAACCTCTAATCGAGCTAACTCGAGCTCGCTCGATTAGTAATTCGAGCTTCACAAGTTGTTCGAGATCGACTCGGTGTACTCGATAGAAAACTCGAGTTCGAGCTCGAACTCGAGTTTTCTATCGAGTCGAGCTTATCGAGCTCGAAACTCGAGCGAAAACCACGAGCTGAGCTTATCGAGCTCGAAACGGGAGAATGAATTAGGTTAGAATATTAAATACACAATGAAATGACGCTAATACCCCTACTATTCGAGCCTGTTGAGCTTTAATCGAGTCGAGCTATGCTCGACTCGTCTATTAAACGAGCATCCAGTTGAACTCGAGCTCGGCTCGTTTCTCTCAATAAACGAGTCGAGTCGAACCCTTATCGAGCCGGGTCGAGCTCGGCTCGCGAGCTACCCGGTTCGATTAACAGCTCTATATGCTAGTAAGATGAAGTTGGCAATTGGACGTGAGTGAAGATAGAAAGTGAAAGTATTTTTTATGAAGAATCAGTGATGGAAGAACTCAACTTTTGTATGCAATTATGCTTTTTTTTTTTTTTTTTTTAAGTTCAAAAATAGGGTATATTGAATTTTGGATTCTATCAGTAATCATCTGATCTGCATTTTACTGATGGTTCTCAATTCATTTTAAATGATATGAAACAATTTTGTTTCATTACGACATATAGCTAGTTTAATTTTCAAAAAAGTATTCTTCCAGGATTGTCAACAAGAATTCAGAAAATGAAAATAGCTTAAAATCTTTGCACAAGTTCGTTGTGTTTTCTTTTCAAAAGAACTTTGTGGGATCGCTCTTCAGAAAGTGCTTGAGCACAAAAAACAGAACAAAATAAGAAAGGGCGAAAGCCATTGCTCTACTTCTCTTGGTGGACAAGATTGTTCCTACTTGTTCATACTAAAGTCTCTTTCACTTTTTACTACGACACCTTCAAAAATGCCGTCAGATCTAAAGTTGGGAGAAAAAAGTCGCGGATCAACTGGTCCTGGAAGACTGAAGGAAAGAGTAAAGGGTCCAGGGGGGCATTGTTGCTGAAACTTCATTCCATAGACTCGAGAATTCCTCGAAACAGTTCTTGCACCAGTTGTTGTCACCCCTCGCACATGAACATTTCCATCGTGTTCGACCTCACAGATAAATTCACCTGCAGTGAAACCATTCTCAATGTCAAATTTGACAAGTATTTGTGTTCCTAGTTTTTAACGCATGGAGTATTTGAATAACAACAATTAGTGCAGACGGATGTAACTAAGTTGGACATTGGCACAAGCAAGATGTGGAAAATAAAGAGGCAGAGCTATTTATACCAGGATCTTTCTTTACTCCAGGTAGGGCGACACAAAAGTAATATGCTGACTTGCTAACACCAATATCTACAGCTCCTACGGGTGGCCCAATTCCTCCTCTATTTGCTGCTCCATTCAAGATGACACGCAAATCTGAGCTACGTTCTTGCATATTGGGAATGGGAAGAAGGGGCATCATACAAGGTCCATACAGTGAATTGTTTGTTTGTAACATGGATGTCTGAGGATCACAAAGAAGCTGGTTCTGCAGATCATATTGGAAGTTCATTGATGCATCATGATTTTCAGGTTCATCAGAATCCCGAGTGCTAGGGACTGCAGTAAGAGGTGAACGATCACAACAGTGGCTCTTTTTCGCATCATCCTGAGATGTTCTTGAAGAACTATCATGGTCATCATTAACTTCATTCGCAAATCTTTCCCTGCTGCTGCTTTTCCAAACTATTCTCTTAACCTTCATCTCTGGATGTAAGTTATTCATTCTGATTTTAAAGTATCTCCAATGGAAGTATAATTATGCGCCCTCAAAGTTTATCTATAATAAGATTGTCAATACAACATCATAAGGGCAAATAAACAAAAATAGGAAGAAGAAGAAGATTAAGGAAAAGTTAAGCTCATTGTATACTAGTTTCTTTGCATGTATCAATTAGATGGCCATGTCAAGTAGGGTGTGTTTGTTAGTCATCTTACTTTGCATCAATAGTTGAAAAGCAATTAGTTAAATCCCACCAGTATCAAAAACTAATCATAATTGTTCCACGGGATAATCAGAACCTTCCTTAAGATGGGTTCACAAGACAATATTTTTCCACATTAAAACTTGGGTGTGAAAAACTACTACTGCTTTTTCATATTCTGTAAGTCCTTGGATCATAGTGTCCTCACTTACAGTTAACAAAACTCCAATATCTAATCAATTCACTTACCCATTCTAGAAGTAGTTGTCTAGTTCAATCAATAAAGAAACACATGTAGCCACCAAAATCACAAGTCTAATCATCATCGTCAAGTTCTAAAGATAAGCAAGTGCCAGATACAAGCACATACTGGATTTAGGGTGGGAAACATTGGAGCAATGCGAGGTAATATACTAATATAATAATAAAGTGAAGAATAAATGAATTAATTGAACACATTCACTGCAAACATAAGCAGTTTAAATATTATTATGAAACACAGAAACAGAATCTGTGTCCTGCATGCCGCCATTCAGTCGACCACCCGAGGAATTACAGATTCGGAAGCACAAATATATGGATAATTTGCAGCAAGTGGTCATGACTACCAAGTAAAACTAGTAGCCAAATAAAAAGCCCACAACACGTATGCACCATTCAAACAATAAAAGACTTTGATCCTGCACCATGCATTATCAAGCACTAACGCTACTTACTTTTTCCCCAAATGCCACCAAGAACTAAGGCCCTGTTTGGTTCCAAGAAACCAGTGAGGAAATGGAAAGTGAATTCCTTGTAGAAACCTACTCCTTTCTCTTGTTTGGTAAACAAAGGAAAGTAGTAGGGAAATGGAAAAGAATTCCACGGAAAGTAATTCTTTTTCTGAATCATGGATTTTGTGAAAAAAATGGGATAGGAAAACATGAAAAGATAAAGAGAACTCATCTTAAATCAATCATAATCAATTTTGATGAAGCTGAACTTTGATGAATGATGATTCTCACTCTTAAAATTGCCTAACAATTGTATTGTATTTTAATTTACTTTAAGTATAGTGGACAACCATGGTTAGGTTCTAAATGGTGGACAACATTGACAATTCAATTGATTATGTAAACAATTCTATAGTGAGTAAGCTGGTAAGAGAATTGCATTGTTACAAAACTAAGTTCAAAAGCAAGCTTGAATCATCAAACTCCATAAAATTGAAACAAGTAATGTATTAATAAAACTGAAAAATAACCAACATGTTAACCCAAAGAATTCAAAAGAAATAAAAAGTTGCAAAATTCACCAAAATTTAGCTCTCTTTATTCCAAAAAAAGGCCTAATAATCTGAAATTACATCAAAATCCACTACCTCATAAATTTATGGTAAAATATCAACTGAGTTATGGTTTCTTTGCTTTTTGGAGAAACAAAAGAATGAAAAGTAACCTTTGTAGTTGCAACTGCTGCATATAAGGCAGTTTATTTGAACTATTTCATAGTTAAAAGGTTGAAAATAGATAAAGGGTACAACCTTTCTATGCATAATAGTAATGCTTTTTATTACTGAATCATTTGCTATTACAGAGCTATAACCATATCCTAGTCGACAGCAGCAAGGCCACAAAAGAAATTTTTCAATACATTGGCTGCTCAATTATGCCTCCAACATTTACACTTCGGAGGCTCTATCTGCGAGTAATACATCTTCTTAGCGCATTCGATTACATTAGGACAGAGGATTCTACTAAGGGAAGAGAACCATGTCCTTCAATATGACTCCGTCACATACCTATCTTCTTGGAACACTGCATTCACATTCAATTTTTTGCACATGCTCTAGAAACTTGTCATTGGCATCTGATCAACAATAGCATGTACAACCACATTTTAACAAAGAAATCTCATTTTGCAGTAACATTGCTGAATTTTTGTCGAAACTCAAACGTCTTACCGTTGCCATGGTCGAAATTACATAAAATGAGATTGAGGCAAAGCAAATTCAAGAGTCCGCTGGACAAAATACAACCATAGATAACTTATAGAAATCCAACCTGCAATACCCTTAAAAACGATAAATAATTGTCAGTTTGGTTATTTAACATCACAAACATCTCAAGTTTATGGATGTCATGAGTTAGTTAGAAGTTTCAAGAATTTCACATATCTTTCCATGTAGATTACACAATGTGATGTCACATCACATATGGTTGGTTCTTATATCTGGACTAAACTGATGAAGTTAAGTTCTTTTCTGTATCTTAGTCATAATGACAAATATCTTCCTAAGGCTAAACTGCTAATTTAATAATATTCTAAAAGGATTCTGATCATCCCCGTTTTACTCCCGATGGTCATGTAGGATTAAGAATCTTAAACTTGCTTGCATGGTTGTAAATCAGAAAATTCAAAGAATATATCAATTAAATGTTGGTAAGATCAAGATTAGCTGTGACTTTAGTGCTTAATGAAGGTAACTTAAGTTAGCTTGAGCAGATACAGAACAAGTCAAAATTCATCTCCTTATACAACCAATGCATGTATGATTAATAGACATAAAAATCTATGCAGACCCATATACAAATTTCTAAGGCCATGAATCAGGAATACTATACATATCAACCTACATTACAGGTATAACCACGAAAATCATCACCATCAAACGGTTTGAGAGATTGAACAGCTTGGAATGGTACTAACATAGTCTACTCACAACACCAAAGCGAAAAAAAAAAATCAGTTTACCTGAATACAAAACAATAATAAGTATAAATCTCTTGAATGAACAGGAAAAAACCAATTCCTATGCCCATGGAAACAGAAGAAAAGCAACAGAATTTAGAAAAAGGACCCCCGAGGGGAGGGGGGTAGGGAACTGAAAGTCTCCAAGGGAGCAAACCTATGCCAAAAAAGAGCAATTCGTTTTTATTTTGCACTTCCCCTGAGCCTTCTATCGTCCTTTCTCTAAAATTGGCAACGCCGACTGCCGGAAACCACGTTGGAGAAGGAAATCTAGTGGCTAGAGAGGAGAAAAAATTGTTTGAGAGAGGCTAGGGTTCGATTGCAAAGGGGAGACGTTTTTTAATTTGACCCGATTTCTCTTATTACCCGGTAGGATCCACATTTGGCCCAGTCCTTCGATATTTTTACCCAAATAGAGTCCGCATATTGACCCGGTTCTCAGTGATTTCCTTCATTTCCTCCCATTCTCGTAAGGAAACATTTGTTAAAACTTAGAATGTATTATACATTTAAACTTTATTTAAAAATATTTTTAAGCCAAAACAATTTTCTAGAAATTCTTTTATATTTAAAAAAAACTTGCTAGGAATACTTATCAAAGATTAACACATTTTTTAAATCATTTCTTGAAGAATTGATTATCTTTTACATAAAAATAATCGTGCTTTTAAATGATTTTGTATTGCTAAATTATTTGTAAATGAGTTCACCTAACGACGAAATATCATGAAATATTTTTAAACGATAAGCAAAAATATGAAAATTTTAAAAATAAAAAAAGTGAATCATCTTTTAATTTATTTCTATTGCTTAAAATCGTATTATCATTTAGTATAAAATTTTTCCTTGTAAATATTCAATACATAGATCCCAAATTAACATATATAACCAATGTTTTTTAATCCTTTTATTTCATTTTCCAACTAACCTAGAATAGAGTAATATTGAAGCAAGTTTGAAATAATTTTACCAATTAATTGAGAAAAACAACCCGAAAACAAAACCAGAAATTGTCACACTCCAGAAGGGTCAAGTTCTTGGTTCAAGGGCCTATAAAAGCTTACAATTCCCTCCATTCCATATTATCAATTCAAATGAGTACGCAATATGCAAAAAACAGCAACATTTCTCCAAAATCCATCAGAAACTACGAGGTTTTCTGAAGTTGGAACCCAAAACAAACGTCAAAATCACGAGAAAGAAATCCTCTTTGAGACGGAAACTAAATACTTGAGGCAAAGTTCTGGTTTTGGCCATCCAAACATCACCAAGAACCCATCGTCAAAGTGGTCTTCTTTGATCAAACACTGCATCTTTCAAGGGAAAACAAAACAAGCCCTTTTGATCTATAACCGAAATCGTGGAGTAGGAAACATTATCCTGGGTGCAATCCCTTTAGCCCTCAAGGCTTGTGCTTCATTATCTATGATTAGCCTTGGCCAAGCTTTACATGCTGAATCTATTAAAGGAGGGGTAGAAGGTGATGTAATGGTAGGGACTTCTTTGGTGGATATGTATGGCAAATGTCGCAAAATAAGTTATTCGCGTAAAATGTTCGATAATATGCCTGAGAGAAATGTTACTACCTGGAATGCAATGATAGGAGGGTACATGAAAGTTGGAGACTTGAAATCTGGAATATTCTTGTTTGAAGAAATGGCATTAAGGACCTCAGTGACTTGGAATCAAATGATTGATGGGCTAGCGAAAAATGGAAATATGGCGATGGCTAGGCAGTTTTTTGATAGGGTGCCAGAAGAGTTGAGAACTGTGGTAACATGGACTGTAATGGTTGATGGGTATGCTAGCGGTGGAGAGATGGAGGCGGCTACTGAAATTTTCGAGATGATGCCAAAGAGGAATTTTTATGTTTGGTCATCGATGATTTCAGGCTATTTTAAGAAGGGCAAGGTTGAAGAAGCAAAGGCAATCTTTGATAGGATGCAGTTAAGAAATTTAGTGAATTGGAATTCATTGATATCTGGATATGCACAGAATGGACTGTGTGACGAAGCATTGGATGCATTTACAAGGATGCAAAGTGAGGGGTTTGAACCAGATGAGTTTACTTTGGTGAGTGTATTATCAGCTTGTGCTCAGTTGGGTATCTTGGATGTTGGCAAGAAAGTGCATGAAATGGCGATCCAGAAAGGGGTGGTCCAATTGAATAACTTTGTTCTTAATGGATTGGTTGACATGTATGCAAAATGTGGGGATCTAATAAATGCTAGATTGCTCTTTGAGGAGATGCCATGCAAAACTACGGCAACTTGGAATGCTCTGATTTTGGGTTTTGCAGTCCACGGACAATGTAAGGAAGCTATTAAGCTTTTTGGCAGAATGGATAGCAGGGGTGAGAAGCCTGACAATATAACCTTTCTTGCTGTTCTATCTGCGTGTGCGCATGGGGGATTTGTTGAAAAAGGTTTAGAAATTTTCTCCAAGATGGAGAAATATGGAGTGACAGCGAGCATCAAGCATTATGGGTGTATAGTTGACCTCTTGGGCCGTGCAGGGAGAATACAAGAGGCCTATAAACTAATCAAGGAGATGCCCTTAAAACCAAATGAGACGATTTTGGGAGCTCTACTTGGAGCATGTCGAACTCATGGAGACACAGATATGGCAGAGCGCATGCTGGAGGAGGTAGACGGATTAAAATGTGGCTCTGCCGTGGATGACCCTGTTCACTATGTTCTGCTCTCAAGTATCTATGCAGCTTCTGAGAAATGGGAGCAAGCTGAAGGAATGAGGGTGGCTTTATTTAATAAAGGTTCTAAAAAAGCAGCAGGCTGTAGCACCGTGATGCTTGAAAGCACGGAAAGTAGTTTTATTCCGCCTCTAAAGACCAGTTGACATCTTTAACCAAATCAAACGAGTGGACCAGAGTAGATACTGGCCTTGCTAGTTTTTTAATCAATGATGAGGACTTGAGCAGTTCAGAGAATGACTTTGAGAGTACCAACTGCATACAATCCATTATATAGAAATACATTATTGAAACACCAATTTAATGCAATTAGAGGTTCTGCCTATGCCTCTATATTGTGTAGTCTAACTTTTTAAATGATTTTTCAACCTAAATGGGAGAAAGCTGAATGTATGAGGGTGGCTGTATCAAATAAAGGTTTTCCTAAGGCAGGTTGCAGCGCTGTAATTTCTAAGTCATGGAAACTAGTGTTAATCCGGGCTTGCAACATACACAGATGAGCGGTCAAGTGAAACAGCAGCACCAATTGTAGATTTCGTAAATTATTGTCATTCATGCCGTTTTTGAACATATGGCCTTATCTCCCTTGCACTTCAGTGAGAATCGGGGCAAAACACTAAAAATTGTACTCTTCTAACTTTTATATATTAATGCTGCAAAATTAGAGGTTATGCCTCCGTATTGTGTATATCACAAGCTAGATTCTTGTAAATCATTCTCTATCCAGTTGATCCGCTTCCTTTCTTCTTTCTGGTCATCAGAATACTGGAGTTCTGCCTCTTTACACACGAATAATTTCCAATCATATGACTCTAAAAGATTCAGCTATCGTTTTCAAATCCTTGTAGTGTCTCTTCCATTGAAGTCCTGTAGAATGAGAATAACACATTATATCCCATGGTTGTGGGTGATAAGATCTGGCATGAAGTGCCAATAGCAATACTTAATTTCATACCACTTCCAGTGACATTGAACAAGTAAAGGCGATTTCCTGCTGCAGTAGCCGTGATAAAAATGTGAGGTGGTTCTAACTCAAACTGGTAGTATTTTCTTCCCGAGTGTTCTGCTACTTGAGCGCTCAACACCTTCCCTTCGACGTTCTCACCAATCACTTCCGGCCCAAAAGCCCCAATCACTTTATCTGGTTCTCCAATTTCTTCAATTTTTGCATCATCACTGATATCTATACACCCAAAAACAACCAACACTTGCATCAGCAATCAAGCTGATTTAACAGCTTATCATGTGAATGAGCCATTGTTTCAGAAATCTTCACAATTGTCTGCCTATTGCTTGTATGACCCTTCTGTTAGCTTATTATATTGCAACAACATCCAAGAAATTGCACCAGCTTCAGAATTATAAAGAAGAAAGGAGGTGGAGGGCAGGGATGGGAGGGAAACTCACTGTCCGCAAATCTTCTAACAGGAGCAACAATTACAAAGAGACGTCCTTCTTGGGAGTTGGCAAATCTCAAATCAATTTCTGTGCCTCCTAGATCTGCAATGGACACAGGAACCTGTATACAAGATAAGCTGTGGTAAAAAGAAGACTGTTCTAAAGAGTAAAGAAGTATTGGAGATCATACAAGATAGCAGAAAGCCGCTCAAACGATGAAAAATATATGCTTTGGCTTCAGAAATTGGAGTTCAAAGATGAAAACGTAGAGATATTTATGAATGCTCCTCTGTTGAAGAGTTTATGCTTACCTCTTCCCAGCCATCAGGCACAGAAAAGGCATAGGGGATGATAGGACTCCATCCCACACCATGCCCTCCTGACTTGTCATCCGGCCTTCGATAAGTTCTCCAACCTGCCTGAGAAATTGTTCTACATAGTGAAGGAGTACGTATTCACATTGGACGAAGCTATAGAATTTGAAGCACCCAAGAATCTTTCACGTTATCAATTTTAAGGAATACTGCATGTATATACGTTGTCTACCAATTTTGAACAACAGAAAGAAAATGCAATTTCTTCAATCCATGTTAGAACAATTTAAGCATTTTGCTTCATAAGATTGATTATGCTTCCTTTTCAGTCTAAAAAGATCTTGAGGACGATAACCAGCATGCTTCTTTTGCTTTATTCTAAATAATGTTCTTGAAAGTGGGATTACCAGTACAAACGATGAATCTAACCTTGCTCATTTGGTTCTGAAAGGCCAGGCACCCTTCCTGCCAGAAGACCTTGTTTTACAACTGCCAATCCCACTCCAGGAAATCCAAATGCTGTTGTAGCTAAAGACATGGCAGAAGCCATTGCTGACCTCCTACTGACCGCCTGTATCAGCCTCTCACTTTCTTCATTCACAGTTTCCCTTTCTGTTGAACCTGCCCCAGCTTTAACAATTGAACCCCCTTTCTCTGATGCAGAATTAGCAACGAAATGTTTAGATGCAACAATCTGTTGATTGTTTGTCCCAGCAAGACAACAACTAGTGTATGATATTGTAATCATTTTTCACTCGACCGAAAAATAGAGTGGTGGCAGAGGGAAATGAAGAAGAAGAGAAATGAAAGTTCAACAATGGAAACTAAGAAACTAGTTACTCCTCTTCTTGGTTGCTTCTGTCCAGAAATGAAGCTCAGACGATTGATTGATTGACCTTATTCTCCTA